GGAAAATACCGGAGGATTCTGCGAAAGGAGAGAGGGGGAGTGGCTTCCGGGCTGGCACTGGCAACGCTCAGAAAAGCCGGGAGACGGAAAATTGGAGACGCGGCGAAACACGGAGCGAGGGAGCCTTTTCGTGGAGGACAGTTTCCGCGAGGATGCCATCTACTTTTCCAACGGTCTTGCTTCGCGATACAACGCCCTGTTAATTACACGTGTAAAATATGATATATTTTTTTGCGATGGAAGCAAAAAAAAGAAAGAAGGAAAGAAAGGAAGAGAGAAAGAAAGCATTGGAGAAACGTATCGTATCGAGATGGAAATTTATCATGGCGAAGTAAATCGATTTCGCGGGATGAAGAAGAGGCGCCTAAAGGTCCCTCTCGATACTTTGGTTGCGCAAGCTTGAATAGATCGAAGGGAGAGAATGAAAGGGAATTTTCTTTTCGAATATATTTAATGATATCTCCAAGTTTGATGGATCGATGTCGTTCGTTTAACGAGGTTTGTTGTAATAAAGAAATAGGAGAGAAGAGGTATTTTTTTTTTTTAATCGTGAAATGCATTCGATGGATAATTCTTGGATGGAGACGTTGTAAATGAATTACAATGATAGAAACTTTGTTTTGGAATTTATTCGATCTCGGTGATGCTTCTCGGATGATGTTCTATCATCCCAATGTCCGATCTAATCATCTTATTTCCCTCGATGTAATTTCACTCGAACGTCTGACAGCCGGGAAATCGACAAGGAAGAAGGGGATCGAGGAAAGCGAGGAGCACGAAGGGAAACTTATGTTAATATTCTGAAAGGTAGGAAGTCAAAGAAACCGACGAAAGAACGAGATTAAAAGAGCGAATATTCGAGCGTCTTCGTAATCAGAGACAGGCGAAGAGAGAATGGGAACGGGGTCAGAAAATGCAGAATTACTTTCTTTGATGTGGATGAATGAAATAAACCTATTAAATTGATGGATATTCGAGCGATCGATCGAAGCTAAAAATAGCTAGAAATAAATATTCGAATAATAGAAAGAATGGGACGAAAATGAAAGTTGGGAAAGAGGAGTCTATGGAAAATTGGAGAATATTTGCCGTGGATGGAAAACGATGTGCAGCGAGGCGAAGAGGGAAGCGGCGAAGGCAGTCGATTAATAGAGGCGATACTCGAGTCGACGGCTTTACAGAGATTTTTGTGGTAAAAGGGCTCGATTTCAAAGAGGCGGCACCGATTCAACGCGAACGGTTGTTGACTGTTCGCGAAAATAGTGGTAGGCGCGAGGCTCGTTCGGGATCTCGAGAGTCCCCGCTGGCTATTACGATTGAAGAGTATTTCTCGAGGTGGGATTCCTGGAACGGTCGAACAGAAGGAAAGTTTTCGAAGCAAAGTGGATGGGAGGCAAAGAGGGTCGAAACTCGAAGAGGTGGCCGAATCGGCATTATATGGGATCATGCTCGCTCCTCCTTTCCACCGGAGGATGGAAACGCGGAGGAATCGTGCGTTTGTGCGGTTTGTTTCGTAATTAATTGTCACTCGTCGTCGTTGAGAAGAAGCGAAAGGAAGCTCGAGGAAACAATTTAGGCGAGGAGGAACTGGCGAAGGGAGTGGTGGAAGATTGAAAGAGGGAAGGAGAAAGGAAAGAAAGAGAAAGGAAGGTGGGATCGCGCGAGGGTTAAGCGCGACAAAGGGGTTAACCAACGATTCCTCGATTCGTCGCGTAAGAGATATTCTCCGGTTGAAACGGGTGAGCGGTAAATCGGAGAAACGGGCGCACTTCCTCCTCCGCGGTCCTTTCTTGCTTTTTCTTTCGGTTCACTCTCGTGACCGATTGTACCTATCATAGTGGCTCGAGATGCGCGTGTGTTCCCATACATCTCCTTTCATTCGAGAGACTCGAGAGAAGAGAAGTGGGTGGACGATGCCTGGCTGGGGTGTCGCTAAAGACAGACAAAGAGGGGTGGGTTGAACAGGCGCGAGGGAAAGCGAGAGAGAAAGGACGCGGAGCGGAGCGCAGACGAGGAGAAGAGAGAAAAAGCGAGAAAGCGGAGGTGGTGGTGGTGGTGATGATGGTGGTAGTGGTGGTGGTGGAGAGAAGAAGCGGATGGGAAAGGGAGGGAGGATGAAAACGGGGTGTGAGAAAGGTGAAGAGGG